CTCGGGATCTTGGGCACGCACGCACACATGCCCGGCGTGAGTTTTAAGCCACTGGGTCCGGGACGTGAACCGCGGTCGACTACGTGGGAGTCCAGCGACATAGCCATTACGCTAACTGCTGGTCCCCCTGTTTCCATGATTTTGAGGCCCGTGTGATCTGTCCGAGACAGCCAGGAACATGCTCCCCACCCTGCCTCGCAGCTGGGCACTGGCCGGCAACAGATGGCATCCCACACCCCAGAGCACGCTCTGGATTCCTCCCTGGAGAGCCCTCCAAGCTTCCTCCCAAACTGCCAGGTCTCCACACGTAGCTGTCCTTGAAATGTGGGAGAGACAAGACAGAGGGATGATGGTGGCTCCCAAGGGACAGGCGGGCAGCACGCCTCCCATTTGGGCCGGGTAAAACCCTGCCAGGCAGGAGGGACTCCCTCCCTCTAGCAGAGGTCGCTGTGGCTGCTGGGAAGACTCGGGCTGGGCAGGGAAGGCCTGACCGGGGCTGGAGAGGCTGGGAGCTGGGCCTGTGTGAGGAGAGGGGGAGGCGGGTGCCGGGAGGGAAGACGCTGAGCAGACTTGACAGCTGGGGGTCTTCAGAGCCAGGCAGGGAGAAGCCAGGGGTCCCCCAGGGGCCCGATGTCACACCCTGTTTGGGATGGAAAGACGTGCCGAGGGACGTCTGAGGAACCGGGAGGGACACGTGTCTGTGGCTTTGCTATGGCAGCCAGGCCTGGGCTTAAGGCTGGGTCCCCTGGGCCACTCTGTGATGGCCGAGGCTGCACGTGGCGCTCTGGCCGCAGCCCAGACTGGCCACCCGCAGCTCTGTGGAAGGCAGGCCCGAGGCTCCTACCAAGGTGGACCTACCCCTGTCCCCTGCAGGGCTCAGTGTGTACTGTGCAAGGGACTTCACAGCCTGGGTGGCAGGAGGAGCTGCCTTGAGGCCGCCCAGGCCTCCCACCAGGGCCCACTGCAGGGCCAAGTAGGCAACGCCTCCGGGCGTGTCCCGGAGGGGAGGGCTGGCCTCACCGCCCCAGGGTGATCACAGCAGATCTGGCCATGGGGGTTCTGCAGGTAGGTGGGGAGGGGCCGGCTGCCCAGGGAGAGGCTCTGGGCTGGTGAAGCAGGGCTGGGTGGGCTGTGCAGGCTGGGAGGGCCCCAAGGCCCCAAGGCCCAGGAAGCCCTTGGACGTGGATACGGTGGACATAGACCCCTGGGCTTGTACTGCAGACTCGCAGGAATTTGGGGAGGGGCTGCAGGCAGGTGGCCCACTCTGGCCCAGGGTCAAGGGTCACTCTTGGACAGCCCCTTCTTTTAGGACAGTTTTCTTTAAAAGACAGAGCCCTGGGGAGTGGGGGAGGAGCTGCCCTGGTTCCGCAGGCTCAGAGCAAGTGGGTGACTGGGGGGTTGGGATGCGAGAGCACAGCGGGGAGGGCCCTCTCAGCCTGCCCACCCCACAGCTTCTCTCCCAGTGACGAGGGTACCCAGGAAAAGGGGGCCTGGAGAGGCCCGACTCCAGGGCACAGGAAGCCACTGACAGTTCTTACTCTGGGTGACAGCTGCCTGCCTGCCAGAGAGCCTTAGCAGGCTGGGGTGGGACAAGACGCTCCTACTCCGAGGGCCAAGCAGACCCCAGGACACTCTCCCTGCTCTCTGGGCTCCGAGGATCCCCAAATTCAGCCCCTGGGGGCCTGGGCAGAGGGGAAGCCTTGGCATCTTGCCAATTCCCAGATGCTGGGGATGGACACTGCCCACCTTCCCGAGGGGCATGCCGAGGGGCGCTGGGCTCCCACCAGCCCGGCCACCTCAACCCTGTGTGGACGGAAGTTCGTCCCAGGCCCACCCCCACCTGTGAGGCATTCGAGTGAGTATATGTGAGTGTGAGTGTGGGTGAGTGAGTGAGTGTATGTGAGTGTGAGTGAGTGTATGTGAGTGTGAGTGAGGGTGAGTGTATGTGAGTGTGAGTGAATGTGAGTGTGAGTGAGGGTGAGTGTGAGTGAGTATATGTGAGTGTGAGTGTGGGTGAGTGAGTGAGTGTATGTGAGTGTGAGTGAGTGTATGTGAGTGTGAGTGAGGGTGAGTGTATGTGAGTGTGAGTGAATGTGAGTGTGAGTGAGGGTGAGTGTGAGTGAGTATATGTGAGTGTGAGTGTGGGTGAGTGAGTGAGTGTATGTGAGTGTGAGTGAGTGTATGTGAGTGTGAGTGAGGGTGAGTGTATGTGAGTGTGAGTGAATGTGAGTGTGAGTGAGGGTGAGTGTGAGTGAGTATATGTGAGTGTGAGTGTGGGTGAGTGAGTGAGTGTATGTGAGTGTGAGTGTGAGTGTGAGTGAGTATATGTGAGTGTGAGTGAGTGAGTGTGTGTGAGTGAGTGGGTGAGTGTATGTGAGGGTGAGTGGGTGAGTGTATGTGAGGGTGAGTGTATGTGAGTGTGAGTGGGTGAGGGTGAGTGTATGTGAGTGTGAGTGAGTGAGTGTATGTGAGTGTGAGTGGGTGAGTGTATGTGAGTGTGAGTGGGTGAGTGTGAGTGAGGGTGAGTGTGTGTGAGTGTGAGTGAGTGTGTGTGAGTGGGTGAGTGTATGTGAGTGAGGGTGAGTGTGAGTGTGAGTGAGTGAGTGTATGTGAGTGTGAGTGGGTGAGTGTATGTGAGTGTGAGTGGGTGAGTGTGAGTGAGGGTGAGTGTGTGTGAGTGTGAGTGAGTGTGTGTGAGTGGGTGAGTGTATGTGAGTGAGGGTGAGTGTATGTGAGTGAGGGTGAGTGTGAGTGTGAGTGAGTGAGTGTATGTGAGTGTGTGTGAGTGTGAGTGAGTGAGTGAGTGTGAGTGAGGGTGAGTGTGAGTGAGTGTATGTGAGTGTGTGTGAGTGTGAGTGAGTGAGTGAGTGTGAGTGAGGGTGAGTGAGTGTGGGTGACTGTGGGTGTATGTGAGTGTGGGTGAGTGTGAGTGTAAGAGTGTGTGGGGGTGACTGTGTGAGAGTGTGTGTGACTGTGAGAGTGTGTGTGAGTGTGAGAGTGTGTGTGAGTGTGGGTGGCTGTGAGTGTGGGTGAGTGTGAGAGTGAGTGTAAGAGTGTGTGTGTGACTGTGTGAGGGGTGAGTGTATGTGAGTGAGGGTGAGTGTATGTGAGTGTGAGTGAGTGAGTGTATGTGAGTGTGAGTGAGGGTGAGTGTATGTGAGTGTGAGTGAGTGTGAGTGAGTGAGTGTGTGTGTCCGCCCATCTGTCCATCCAGCTGGTTTGCGTGTCACCCGCGTGCTCTCCTGTTCACCTAACTTTGGAGAGGGAGCAGCCAGTGCTGGCTCTCCCAGGCCCAGCACACAAGCATTGAGCAGGTGCCCCCAGGGGCTGGCGGGTGCGAGGGCTGGCCCTGGGGGCAGTGCGTGCTGGGGTCTTGGCCGAACGTTCTGGCCTGAGCTGCAGCTGGCCATGAGGCCCTGGAGCTCGCAGAGGAGGGGCAGATAGCTTGTAGATCAGGTCCGTGCCTCCAGCAGCCTCCCGGGCGGTGGCAGGGCCAGCCTCCATCCAGGGAGCAAGGGCCCTTGTGCAGCTCGGCAAGTCCTGGAACTCAGGTTCAGGCTGTCTGGGCCTCACCTGCCTGGAGCATCCTCACCCCAAGCAGGGTGGCAAGCTGAGCCCCTGGCCAGCTTCCTGGACTGCAGGGGGCACTGAGTGGGCAGCTGCATGCCATGCTCATGCCTCCACCTCGGGGCCGTCTCTGAGCCCGCTGCAAATGCCTGGCACTGCCCACCCGTGGAGTCCCTGCCTCTCTCCTGAGAGGGCAAATCCCCCAGGGGCCCAGTTGGGGCACTGAGAACCAAACCCCTTGAGGCAGAGTCAGGCCCAGGGTTGTTGGTGAGGGAGCCCTTTGCTTGGCCCAGCTCCCGGCTGAAGCTGTGCCCTGGGTGCTGTGGGTCCACAGGCGTGCAGCAGTGGCAGCTGCGGCTCCAGCACCTACCTGATTGTGCAGGGGCAGGAGGGAGGCTTGGCCAAGCTCACGCCCCTCTCAACTGTCTGGCTCTACAGGCACTGAGAGCCACCCCTGCGCTGAGATGTCGGGTCGAGGGCGAGTCCTGAAGGCAGAGGATCCATGGCAGGGCCACTTGAAGGGACAGGTGGGGACTAGACAGTGCAGGGAGAGGGGCAAGGAGAGAGTGGATGAGTAACAGCTCTGGCCAAGGTGCTGGGGATACAAGGGCCCCAGTGCGTCCCGCAGTTCCCAAAGCTGGGGGGAACAGTTGCGTGGGGTGATGTCACTCTAGGGGGAAGGTCGGGAGCCCGCAAGGTGGTGGGCCAGAGTGGAGATCGCCCCTGCCTCGTTGGCATGGACTTGGCCAGTGTCCCCCCAGCTTGCTCACTCTCCTGCCTTGTCTCAGAGCACTGGCACAGCCACACCACCCTGAGGTGACACTGGGCCACCGGGTGGGCTCCCCTCCGGATCCAGAGTGTTTGGAAGGCCCTGAGGTGGTGGAGGCTCAGAGCAGTGGTGGGAACTCCCAGCGCGGCCTTCCTGCCAGCTCAGCATCCAGCCTCTGACCCTGAGAGTGGCTGCCCAGAGGTGCCTGCTGACAGGGCCCACCACCCGGGGGCATGCCTGCCAGAGGGTGGGCGTGGACGACACGGAGCAGCTCCAACCTGGCCTTCCTGGGTGTGGCCAGCTGACTGGCCCCTCGTCTCTCCAGTGTCTTCCTAACAATGCAGGTGCCCTGGGCCTGGCAGCTCCCAGCACACCAAGGGGCTGAGTCTCCCCAAACCCACTGAGCCCTAGGGAGGGTGGAGGGTGCTAGTGGCCTCCCCCTGCCCTGAGTGGCACGCTGGGACATGGGAACCTGCACAGGGCCTCCTGTGTGTGTCTCCACGTGACAGCGAGGAGCTGGGCCCAGAGCAGCAGCCCCCGTCTGTGCTGCTTCTGGTGTGCCCAGCCCCTAGACTCGGCCCAGGGACCCTGGCAGAGCACAGCCCAAGGGTAGTGGTACAGCTCAGACCCAAGGAAGACTGCACCGTGGGGCTCCACCTCGGGGAGCATACAGGCCTCAGGGCCAGCAGGGACCCCCATGGACCTGCCGTGTGGACATAGAGGCAATGCCACAGTGTGCCCCCTGTGGGGGGCCCTAGGCTGCCGCCTCCAAGCCCTCATCTGCTCCACCCACAGGAGATGCAGCCCGAAGACCCTAGATGCCCCTCTAGAGCATGAGTTTGGGCACGAGCGCCCACCACCACCGCTTCTCCGGGGCTCCTCCCAGCCTCCCCAACCCAGACGCCGCCGCGGTAAGGGGGCTGGCGGGGGGCTGGCCGCCCTGCTGGCCATGCCCTGTGCGTGTCCACCTGTGCACACCCGTGTTCTCTCTGGGGCAAGGCTAAGTCTCCCTCTTCTCTCCTCAGACCAGAATGGAGACGACCTTCGGGCCTGCCTTTTCAGCGGTCACTACCATCACAAAAGGTGAGCCTCCAGGCCAGCCCCTGGGAGGGATCTGGTGCCCCACCTCCCCCAAGGCCTGAGCGGCACTTCCTGAGGCACCGACTGCTGGCACCGGCATGTGGGTGGCTTGGCTCCCCAGCCTTCCTTCCTGGCCAGCCTCAGCCCTAGGCTTCCCCGGGCTGGGCAGGAGTCAAGCCATCCTGTCTGTGGGCCTCAGCCACTGCTGCATCTCCACCCCTGGCTTCTCTGCCCTGTGTCCAGCACCTCTCCAGGGAGGGCCACCCTGACTGCCTGCCAACTATGTACCCCTGCCCGTTTTCACAGCGACCCCCGGGCTCTACCCCTGCCTCCAAGAGGGAGAGGCCGCGCCAGCTCTCAGGGTCCTTGCTGAGTTCAGCCCGAGGGCCTCATGCAGCACGTGCCTTCCAGAGGGCAGTCGGAAAGGGCAGTCTGGGGCACTTTCTCCTTGCCTCCTGGGTACACTGCCCCTGTCGGAGCACACCGGCTGCTAATTAGTTTTCTAATTGCTTTTCTGTGGCTCCTCTGGATAAGCCTGGCCCCGGGGCCACAAGTGCAGCTGCCCAGTGACTGCTGCCCCCAGGAGCTCCGAAAGTGCCCTGTTTTCCTTCCAAAGAAAACAAACTAACTCTCGCAGCCGTGCCCATCACCCAGAGACGGGCCTTCGTTTCCCGTGTCCCACAGCAGGGCTGGGAATGGGGGGCCTGCTGTGCCCTCCTCTTGGTGGCAAGCGTGGGTGTAAACTGGACGACAGGGCCCCAGCCTGGACCCTTGTTCCAGATGGGAAAACCGCCCCAGCTACAGGGCGGCCACTCGAAGCCTGGATCTTGAACTCAGGCCTCTGGGGCTGGTGTTTTGACATCTGAACCTGGCTAGGCCTGAGCAAAAGCACCCCACCCCTGAGGGCTGGCGTGGGTCTCCAGCCCCAGTGGAGGCTTCACCCACTTTCTGCCCCAGCGAGCGGGGCGATGTGCAGGAGAAGGAAGGTGCCTCACCTCCCTCTCTGCAGGAGACCTGAGGCAGGGCTGGTTCCTGATCCTCGCTGTGTCAGGGCAGGGGCCGGGCACCCAGACCAGCAGACTGCTGTCCTGGCCCTGCCGCCTCCCAGCCGCAGGAGGGCGCTCGGCCTCCAGTGCCTCAGTTCCCTTCCCCCTGGAGCACAGCTGAGTGTCAAACCCTGGTACCTGCTAGTCCCTGCCAGGTGTCCTGGGGTGCAGCCCAGGCCTGGGGCCTGACAGGACCTTGGAGAGACCCCGAGAGCCCTTCCAGGGCACCAGGGTGGGAGCCTCCGAGCTCAGTGCTGGGTCTGCTGAGGGGGGTCCTGCTGGCTGTGCCCTTGGCCCTGCCTCAGCCAATAGGGAGGGCCCGTGTGCAGCACAGGCTCTAGCCCCATCTGGCATGTGGCCAAGGGAGCTCCAGCCCAGCAGCGGGCTCTGGCGGGCAGGTGGCCCTCATCCACAGTGCCTGGCTGTCTCGGCAGCGGACGGGACCAGCACATACAAACAGCACCGCAGAACGCCCTCTTCCTCCAGCACCCTGGCCTACTCCCCGCGGGATGAGGAGGACAGCATGGTAGGTCCCGCGGGGCTCCGCGTGCACCTCGGCCACCCCGGGAAGGGCCATGGGGAGCCGGAGAGGTGGGGGAGGAGGAGACGTGGACACCCTGAGGCCTGGGCACACAGGGAAGCCCCATGGGGGGCAGGAGGTGACCGTCAAAGGTGTCTGAGCTAGAGTGTGACACCTCCAGACAGTCGGGCTCCATCTCAAGGGAGGTGGGAGCCACAGAAGGTTCAGGTGGGAGAGTCACAAGGTAAAGCCCTCGTTTTGAAAGCTCCCTCTGCTGCTGAGCAGAGAGTGAGTGGACTTGCTGGGTAGGGGTGAGGAGTTGGGGGTCTGAGGCAGGGAGACGGACCATACCGCAGGTGGGGACGAGAGGGCGGGTCAGCGGAGGCAGTGAGGCCTGTGAGGCTGCTGGGGGAGGACCCCAGGCTGCTGCTCTGTAGAGGGAGGGCAAGAAGGTTTGGGGGTACCAGGGGCCAGCGATGGGGCCCCAGGGTTGGTCCTGCATGGGCTTGGCTACAGCCCCTCCTGCTGGGTGGCCAGGCCTCATTTTCAGTCCACTGCACGAGCACAGGCTGAGAGTTCTGCGGCCCATCCCCGCAGGCCTCTGCCTGCCCAGGGCCCACCTGCCCAGGGCCCGGAAGGAGGTGAGTTCCCTGTACTGGGTCGTGGTGGCTTTCAGAAGCTGCGGGCTCCCTGCAGCCCCAGCATCCCAATGGTGGGTGGCAGATGCCTTCCCGTCCGTCCACTCTGCACTCAAGTGCAGCGGAGCCCAGGAGGCGGGCTGTGGGGACAGCTGCGGGTTGCCAGTCCCACGGGGCAGCTCGTTCCCTGGCCTGTCACCACCCTGGGCTGTTTCCCTGCTCTGTTCTCCCGCGCCCTCTCTGGCCATGCCTCTGCCTTGCAGGTTTTAGCCCGGCCGCTGGGGAACGTATGGGGAGGGTACGGGGAGGGTACCGTTCCCACACCTGCATCTCACAGCTGGAGGCCTGGGGCTGGGCAGGCTGCACCTGTGCTGTGCACCGCTCTGGCTCCCGAGGGAGGGCCCCGAGCAAGGCAGCGCCTGTCAGTGCTGGGACGAGGCTCCTGTAGGCTAGAGGGGCAGCAGGGACAGTGCCTTGGGACTCCCTGGTCCTCATCCTGCGTGGCTCAGGCAAGGGCGGCTCTTCCCAGTCCAGGGAGGCCAGTTGGGGGGAC